CCCCGCCCCGCCCCTGCTGCCCAGCCCCTAGCACTGCCCTGGGGCAATGGGACCAGCCCTGAGTGCCAGGGAAGAGCCACTCTCAGGCAGACGGGGCAGGTGTCCAGGGATCGAATTCGTGCCCAGTGTCCTGCCACCTCCTCGTTCCCCGCCCAGGGCTGTTCCCTTGGCCACGCCCCCTCCAGCAGGACAGCCAATGGGAGGCGCCACCGTGTGGCAGCATCACTAGTTGCTAAGCGGAGTCAGCTGGGGCTGCAGGAGGGAGCAAGGAAAAGAGGTGGGAAATGGGCGGGGCGGCGGCATGAGGCATCAATGGCCACTGAGAGCACGACAGGGGAGGGGCCAACTGCCACCTGAAGGAGAGGGTTGGGGGAGGGGCCAACTGCCACCTGAGGGAGAGGTTTGGGGGAGGGGCCAACTGCCACCTGAGGGAGGGGTTTGGGGGGGGCCAAATGTCACCCTGCTTGGGCTGTGTGGACATACTCCTTTGTTATTGTAGGGTTGCTGGGGAGCACTGGGCTGTGGACAGGCTGGTTTGTTGTTGCAGGGTTGCTCAGGAGCTCTGGGGCCGTGGACAGGGTTGTGCTGACACAGGAAATGCTCCGGGGAGGGGAGATGCATTGGGTCAAACCTGGGAGCTAGCACCCCTGCCCCACACTGTGAGCGTCCTTCAGCGAGTCCCCCTGGGCTGGACACCTCCAAGAGACCTGTACCCCAAAGGGGGCCATGGCCCTCCCCATCATGTGCAGGGACTCAGGCAGCCTTGTCAAAGCAGGCGGGTTTATGAGGTGATTGGCACACGGCATAGGAAGCCCTCAGGCCAGCACAGAGAAATGGGGTACAGCTGTGTGGACCCCTTGGCTGCCGTTCTGGGCCTCTTTGGCCCCTGTTCCCCTCTTTGTCTGTAGTTCCCGGTTGAGCTCACCCCCCACCAGTGTTACCAGATGTGCCTGTTACTTTGGGGTACGCTCATTTATTAGGGTTACTCTTCTGGGGGGTTCAGGGATTCTGTGATTCCATCAATGAACTGCTTGAGTCACTTGTGTTCTCATACGGAGCTCTACCTCTCCCTGCTGCAAGTCCCCTCCCAATGAAGCTATCCTGCAGGACCTTGGTTCCCCAGGACTGGGTTCCTCCAGCCCCAGGACCAGATGAATACACGCATGCACGCACACACACCAAGTCTGAGCAGGCCAGGTCAATCACCACTCTCAAGCTGACCCCCTTATGTGCCCCTGGGCTCAATAGGCTGCGCCAAGCAGCACTTTCAGCTGCTCCCCCCCCCCCCCATTATCTGCCACAGGTTTAAAACGTCCCTATCGCCGCTCTCACGTCACAACCCACTGGATGAGCAAACCCCACAGGATTTTTGGGCGCTACAGGGATCTTTAGCCTAGGTAAAAGAAGAGTTGCTGCAGAGTGAATGGGAGAAGCTAAAACCACAAAAGAGTAAAGTTGAGAGAGAGAGAGAGAAGCAATCAGCTTAACCATAGAAGTTATTTATTGAATAATAGTGATAACCACACAAGGAGGGCTAAACAAACATACCAGTTACATTATTAACGGTTAATACCTGAGGTAGAAAACAGATAGAGAAAGAAAAGGATCCCAACGCCCCCGGTAGCGTGAACTGGTCAGGGTTCCCAGGTGGCCAACACGATCAGTCAGGAGAAGATGAAATCCCAGTGGAACTGATGCAGAGTTTGGATCCAAACATTAGAACACTTACTTGAACATAGGTAGGGGGTTTTGTAGAGAAACAACAATGGTTCAAGGGAGAACACTAGATTTGTTTATGGGTAAACTGATGACTCAAGGGTTTTCTTTAGGCTAGACAATAGGAGCTGATCACTCTTGGCTATGGGTAGTGTTCCTTCCAGGGAGCTCACAATGCAACTAGGCTGCTTCGGTATTTTGGGTACCAATCAAGGATTAATTACTAGAATTGGGCTGAAAACTGCTGAGCTGGGTGTGTGCAGGCGTGGGTTCATTAACATCTGGAGCAGAGATCCCCCATGATGCCATGCTTCCCTGCCTTTCTGGCCCCAGAGTTCAGTGCGGTTCTCTGTTCTCCATTCTGTATGCAAATTGAGATGTCTTCATCTTGTCACCCTTGTCAGGACGGGTCTAGATGTGTCTCCCAAAGCCCTTCACTGCTCTCTGCAAGCCTTTCCTCTGACTGGTTTTGGTTCAAGCAGAGACTGGGGAGGGGGTGTCTTTCATGAGTCAAAAAGGCTAGATACTGCACCCTGGTTCCCCAAAAACACAGAGCTGACTGGTATCACCTGGCCCCTCCTCAGTCCATGTTCTTGGCCAGGGGAATGGTGTGCAGCTCCCTTGCTGAGAGGCAGGAAGTCGACATGCTCTGGGTCATTTGTTGGTTGCTAGGTGGTGAATGTTGCCGTGTTTGGCTTTGCTACATGGACCTGGGACCCAAAGCCGAGACAGCTGGGCCTCATCCACACCTGCTTTGCTGGGCCTCTGCAAAGAGTAAACAGCCATTTCCCCCGCAACTAGCGAACAATGCAGCATACAGGGGAAACTGAAGCACACACAGTATTCAAACAAAATATTACAGACAATTCCCACCCCATCCCACCCTCCACCTCCCATCCCATCCTGATGAGCGCAGTGTGACCATCCAGCGTGTTAGACGGAGCGGGGGAGATGGTGCCATTAGGGGAGGCCAGGTTTGGGCAGGGGACACAGACCGATGCTCCACAAAGGGGCACAGACCAGACCTTGTGGGGAGGAATTCTGGTCACTAACATCAGAGTGGAGCTGGCATCGCAGGAGGGTAAAGGCCCTGTGTCCCATTGCCCATCTCCCTCAGCCAGCCCCACCCCTGCTCTGGGGCTGGACTGGAGTCAGTGCACCCTAATAGGAAAGGATGGGTGTCCCATTCCTCACCCCCTGAGCTGCCAGTCCCCCCACCCTGGAGTTGCATCAGAGCTGGAGCCCCCTGGAGAGTAACGGCCCCATGTCCCTGTCTCCCATGGATGGTCCCCCTGAACCCTGCCTGTGGCCTGGTCTACACTTAATCCTTCTCCCAGCAGAGCTCTGTAGGTTAGGTGTGACACCCCCACCCCCAGCACAGAGCTCTGGGGGTCAGGGGTGTGACCCCACATCCCAGCACAAAGCTGTGTTGCCAAGCCCCTTGTCAGGGTTCCCTCCCCACTCTGAACTCTGGGGTACAGATGTGGGGACCCGCATGAAAGACCCCTAAGATTATATTCTACCATCTTAGGTTAAAAACTTCCCTCCCCAAGGCACAAATTCCTTTCCTTGACCTTGGATGGTATTGCTGCCACCACCAAGTGATTTAAACAAAAATTCAGGGAAGGGTCACTTGGAGCCCTATCCCCCCAAGTCCCTTCACCACCTTTCCTGGGGAGGCTTGTGAATAATATACCAAACAATTGCCTTTAATGTAAGTACAAACCAGACCCTTATCTTTAGGACACTAAAATCAATCATGTTCTTAAAAGAAGAACTTTCTTTAAAGAAAAAGTAAAAGAATCACACCTGAAAAATCCGGATGGAATCTAACTTCACAGGGTAATAAAAAGATTTAAAACACAGAGGACTCCCCTCTGGACTCAGCTTCAGTTACAAAAAACAGGAATAAAATTACCTCTTAGCATAGGGAAAATTGACAAACTAAAACAAAAGATAATCTAACACATTTCCTTGCCCGTACTTACAATTTTTGTAATCTTAGATGAATCATTTCAGGTATACTTTCAGGAGATATCCCTGCCTGGTCTCTCCCTCCATCTGGACCAGGAACATACAAAGAGCACAAACAAAACCTCCCTGCCCAGATCTGAAAGTATCTTCTTTCCTTATTGGTCCTTTTGGTCAGGTGCCAACCAGGTTATTTGAGCTTCCTAACCCCTTACAGGTAAAGATTCAGTACAGCTGCCCAGGAGGGATTTTATGCTACCCTTAGCTGTATGTTTATGACCCCTCCCCATGTGCACACAGTCATTCCACAGAACAGGGCATGTGTGGACCGGGTGAGTGCCATCTGGGAAGGTGCTGTCCCCACTTTGGGGACAGACCCCTCCTGTCAGCACTGCGTCCACACTGGGCTGCCGGCGGAGCCTCACCGCTCTGGACCCTGCCATGCAGACACAGCCTGCGGCAGGAGGTGTCTGGATGGGAATTTGTCCATCTCTTCGTGTGGCTCTGGGCTGCTGTTCTACCTGGTAACAGGCTGGTCAGTGCACCCACCACTGCTCTAACCAGCCAGATCCCACTCCCCTCCTACACTGAGGACAGAACCCAGGAGTCCTGGCTCCCAGCCCCCCTGCTCTAACCCATTGGATCCCAACCCCCTCCCAGAGATGGGATAGAACCCAGGAGTCCTGAATAGCTCCCCCCTCCCCACGAACGCACTTCCCCTCCCCAGCCAGGACTATTATTATAGCTGTATTACTGCAGGGCCGAGGACCCCGGTCGTGGCCAGGACCCCCTTGTGCTCGGTGCTGCACAGACGCAGAACAAAAAGAGAGAACCTACCCCCGGAGCCTGGGTCCCTCACACCCAGCTCTGGAGGGGCCGTGCCCCCAGGAGCTCTCAGCCGAACCCAGCCACCAACTTGGAGCGGTCTCCCTGGCGCCCCGCAGGCCATAGTGTTGTCAGGGCTCCCTCGTGGGTAGCTGCTTCCCTGCTTACTTCCCGGGCACGCCAGCTCAGCCTCAATGCCCTGCCAGGACCCTCCTGGTTCCCATGCCCTGACCCCGCACCCATCCCCTTTGTGTATGTAGCTGTGTCTGACCCCTGCACCCAGGTCCTGGCTCCTACAGCCCCCGGTGGGACCCACTGGGCAGCCCCTCCCTGAAGAGTTTATTGAATGGCACAGGCCAGCGCCGGCTTCCTGCAGATCCCGTATCTTAGCGATCCCACAGTGCCCCCAAGTGTCCAACATGCCCCGAACGTCCCAGAGGGAGGAGAATCCCACCCCGCCACCCAGGGCCCCGATCTCCCTGCGCTCCGATCCAGTCCTGCCCTCGGGGCCCTCAGCTCTGGAGCCGGGCACAGATCCATCCCCAAGGTCCATGTCCCCAGGAGACGGGCCGATCCCCACGCCTGGGCCGGTGCCACCCCCTCAGGGACTGGACTCCCCTGGTCCAACATCCTGGTAGCCCCTGGAAGGAGAGAGCAGAGGGAATGGGTTATGGGGTGTAATGGCCCACGACCACCACCCCAGAGAGGGAGAGGACTCACCTGCGTCTGCTCCACCACAGCACCACGGCTACGGCAGCTATGGCCACAACCCCCAGGAAGATGCCCACGACCAGGCCAGGGCCCCAGCGCCTGGTCTGCTCTGTAAAACAGGGGGTGCCATGCTGGGAACGGGGACAGGAGTATGGACCCTGTTCCCTCTGCCTTCCCCGCAGTCGCCCCACACCCCCCACCTCCAACCCACTGCCTGCAATCCCCCCGCCCCTGGTCCGTCAGCCTCCCCCGCAGTTCCCGCTGCTCCTCCAAACCATGCCCTCAGCCCCCCAACAGCTCAGTTCCCTCAGCCTCTCCCACAGTCCCACCCCTTCTCCCCCCCATCTTCCCACCCCCTCAGATTCCCCCCACTCTACTCCTGCCCCCACAACCCAGTCGTGTCCCGTTCCCCTCAGCTCCTCCATCCTGCTCCCCCTGATCCATCTCCACACCTCCCACCCACCCCCTCTGCCTCCCTCTGCCTCCCTCCGCCCCAATCCTGCTGGCTGGACCCACCCCCATCCAACTCAGGATGTGCAGGAAAACCACCCAGAGACCATGACCACCCCCCACCCCCTGGGGATGTGCACCTACCCCAGGGAATCAGCAGGCTCTGGCCCCCCAGGCTGCTGTGCTCCACCCGGCAGGCGTAGCTGTGCCGGTTGCCTGGCTCCACGGCTAGGGAGCTGCGCAGGATCCCGCTGGAGTTCAGCAACAGCCCGGTGGCACCTCCTCCCCGTCCTGCAGCCAGGCCACGCAGACGGGCCGGGGGTAGAAACCGGTGACCTGGCAAACCAGCAGTAACGGCGCAGGGGTCCCAGCTTGGGGAGGCGCTCGGGCAAACACCACGGCTACTGGCCGCTCTGAGACAGGAGGGAGAGAGACAGGGCGTGGGAGAGGGGATGATTCAGCCTGAGCCTCAGGGACTCCCTAGCCAAGCCCAGCTCCTTTCCCCGGGGTCAGGCATTGGCCCCGCTGTCCTGGCCAGACCCTGCAGTTACCAGTGGTGACAGAATCCCCCTTCACTTCCTGTCCTAAACTGCTGTGCAATGCAGCTATGAAATACCTACTGCGCTGCACCCCAGATATAGCTGCATTTCTACACCTGTATAAACAGCCCCCTGCCCCAACCCAGAGGTGGCTGCATATCAGTCCAAGGGGAGGGATGCCTGCATAAACAGCCCCCCCCGCCCAACCCCAGAGGTGGCTGCATATGAGCACTAGGTGCGGGATCCCTGTATAAACAGCAAACGCACCCTACCCCAGAGGCAGCGAGTGGTGTCCAGCCTCACCTGGCCTCTCCAGAGACTCTTTCCCATGCTGGACGAAGCTCTTGAGCTCATTGACACACGTTCTCAGGAGAAACTGAATCACGCTGGCTGCACCTTTATCCCGGTTGAGAAGGTCCCGGGCGTAGAGCGCAGCCACATTATCCCCCTGCTGAGCAACCCATTTGCCTGCGTCCGCCTCAAAGCTGATGAAGTCCTCGCCGTTCACTCCAGCGTCATAGAATCGCCTCGAGGTGCCATTGGGGTGCAGCTCGCACCCGAGGGAGCCCTGGATTACAAAGGGGTCTGGAACAGGAAGGGCAGGGGGATGAGGACGGGCATCCGGATGTCTCAGGAGGGGGCAGAAGTAGAGAGACCGGGGGAGTAAAGACATAATGTCAGGTGCCATGAGGATGTTGGGCTACAGGACGGCGGTGGGATTGTGGGGCGGCCCTGGTTGGAGTTAAGGGTAAGTTGCAGTTTCTGATTAAAGCTGATTTTTCTTGGGCACAGTCATTGGCTCGAAAATCACTGCGTTACATCGGTGCCTGAGGCAGAGTTTGTGGTGCAAATTTGGGGTCCCTTGGTCACAGGGTTCCTGAGATACAGACCCCCGCCCAAATGACCTGCTTTCAAAGGGTAAGGGTACACGTCAGGAAAGACCAGGAGCCTCGGCTCAGGGAGTGGGACACGGGGCCTTTCCGCTCTAGGAAGTTCAGGCTACAATCTGGCCCCAGACCTGGCTGGAGAATGACACACGGGTGTTTCCCCTCTGGGGGATGCCGGCTCCAATCAGCCAAAGGGCCAGGGACTGGCTGTCTTGCCCCCAATGACACACTCAGTTGCTGCGGTGAGTGTGTCAGTTCTCAGCTCCCCGGGTGGGTGGGGAGAGGGATCCGCTCAGATCGCTCCATACTCACAGCCCATTCCCTGCTGCTGAGCTCTTCTGTTCACTTTAAGGATGAAGTCGGATAGAGAGCGCTGGATCAGCAGCTCCAGGTCCTGCCACTGCTTCGGGGTCAGGCCCTGCTGGGCCCAGGGCTGCCGGAAGCGGATCTTGCAGGTGATGCAGTCCATGGAGTGGGTCTCCAGGTCGCCCAGCAGGGCCATCCCCTCCATGCCAATGGAGCTGGCGTTGTGGAAGACATAGATTTGGAGCAGCCGGAGGGTGACAGACGCTGGCGGGACAGGAGGGGAGGCTGGGGCAGGGGGCAGGAAACAAGTGGAGGACAAAGCGGGTGGGGAGAGAGATTAATGAGTTTCAGTCCCGTAAACAATCCTGCACTACGGGGTCTCCCTGCTGATCCCTAACCTGCCTCCCCCGTCCTACTCCCCCAGCAAGGGTCACTAGCCCAGCATGGTACTTCCCCACCCTGGCCCTAGTGTTACACCATCCCCATGCATCCCCGGTAGCAAAAACAGCAGGGGGAGTCCTCACTTACCAGCCAGGGCCTCCCATGCCCAGGGAAGGAGAAGTAGAGGGAGCAGCATCCTGGCAGGGGAAGGGGGATCCAGGCTCTGGCGGGCGTCAGGGCAGTGGGACGAGGGGCCCAGGATCCCAATGTGCTCTCAGTTCCTCCGCAGCCCACACCCCTTTCTGCCAACTTCTCCCTTTGTCTGTGTTTCCTCAGCTCTGTGCCTGCAGCTGCCAGCCAGGGCCCCTCCCTAGACATTGTGGTGCCCTACGCAGCCCCAGACCTCCGAGGGGGGGCAGGCGCTGTGCCCAAGGTCTGTGGGGGACAGGAGCAGGCATGGGGGGCAGGGGGGAACCACCCCCCAGGATGAGCTGGCAGAGCGGTTTGGGGCCGGGTCGCACCACTTCCCGCCACCGCCACCGGGTGAGTGCAGGATGTGCCCAACCCCTGCTGCAGTCCCCCGGGAGGTAACTCAGGGGAAGGGGTGGAGCAGGGGCGGCGCTGGGGTGGAGCTGGGGCTGGGGCTTTGGGGAAGAGGCAGTGTCATGGAATGGGGGGAAGTCAGGGCCCTGCACCCTCACTTCCTGCGATTCACCGTGATTCTCAGCCAGCCAGTAAAACAGAAGGTTTATTCGAGGACAGGAACAGTCCCAAACAGAGCTTGTAGGTGCAACCAGGACCCCACAGTCAAGTCCTTCTGGGGGGTAGGGAGATTAAAAACCCCAAACTTGGGGGCTCCCTCCTCTTCCCCAGCCAACTCCCCCCTGACACCGGTCTCACTCCCCTTCTCCCGGCTCCTCCTCCAGCCTTTGTCCAGTTTCCCGGGCAAAGGTGTCACCTGGCTCCATCCCCCTCCTGGCTCAGGTTACAGGCTCAGGTCTCGTCCCTCAGTAAAATCATCCCCTGCTATCCCATCCCCCATGCTGACAGTTCCAGTAAAACTGGACGACATTCCCAGGTCAATCCGCCCCGCTCCCTACTGTGTCACATCTCTCCCCCCTTCAAGACTGAACTGAGCGGGGTCACTCTGACCAGTGACCTGGGGAAGTTCAGGGCCCCCTCTCTGGGACAACGCTTCCGCTATCATGTTGGCACTTCCCTTCACATGGACCACATCCATATCGTAATCCTGCAGGAGCAGGCTCCACCTCAGGAGCTTGGCATTGGCTGCTTTCATTTGGTGTAGCCAGGTCAGGGGAGAGTGGTCGGTGTACACGGTGAAGCATTGCCCGAAGAGATATGGCTCTAGTTTCTTCAGGGCCCACACCATGGCCAGGCATTCCTTCCTGATGGCCGACTAGTTTTGCTCGTGGGTAGCAACTTCTTGCTCAGGTACACGATGGGGTGTCTCTCCCCCTTTTCATCCTCCTGCATTAACACCGCCCCCAGTCCCGTGTCTGAGGCATCGGTGAACACCATAAAAAGCTTGTCAAAGTCTGGGTTTGCCAGAACTGGGCCACTGGCCAGAGCTTCCTTCAGCGCACAGAGAGCCCTCTGGCACTCCTCAGTCCAGATCACCTTGTCTGGCTTCCCCTTCTTGCATAGCCCAGCGATGGGGGTGGCTATGGTGCTAAAGTGGGGCACGAATCTTTGATAGTACTCCGACATCCCAATAAAGGCTTGGATCTGCTTTTTGGTTTGGGGAGCGGGACAATCTCTGATCACCTCCACTTTGGCTGGTTCTGGCTTTAGGCAGTCACTCCCCACCCGATGGCCCAGGTCAGACACTTCAGCCATCCCCACCTTGCACTTCTCAGCTTTTATAGTCAGCCCAGCCTCCTGGAGTCGGTCCAGCACTTGTCTAACACATAGTCCTCCCAGGTCTGGCTAAAGACACAGATGTCATCAATATATGCCACGGCAAAACTCCCCATCAGTAGCTGATCCACCAGGCGCTGGAAGGTAGCTGGCGCCCCCTTGAGGCCGAAAGGCAGGGTCAGGAACTCATAGAGCCCCAGAGGGGTGATAAAGGCTGATCTGAGCCTGGCATCTGCATCCAGTGGCACTTGCCAGTAGCCCTTTGTAAGATCCATGGTGGTAAGGTACCGAGCTCCTCCCAGCTTGTCTAGGAGCTCGTCAGGCCTGGACATGGAGTAGGTATCAGAGACAGTGATGGCATTGAGCTTCCGATAGTCCACACAGAACTGGATCAACCTGTCCTTTTTGGGGACCAGCATCACCGGGAAGGCCCAAGGGCTGGCAGATGGCTGGATCACCCCCAAAGCCAGCATGTCCTTGACCTCTCTTTCCAGGTCCTGAACAGTCTTCCCTGTGACGAGGAAGGGGGAGCATCTTATAGGGGGATGCGATCCTGTCTCTACCCGGGGGACAGTCAAATTACTGCGTCCAGGCTAGTTGGAAAACAGCTGTCGGTACAGATGCAGCACCCCTCTGATCTCAGCTTGCTGGTCAGGGGTTAGCCGATTAGAGAGGGGAATTGTTTCCAGGGGGGAACCAGCTCTTGACTCTTTAGTAGATCTACTCCCTGGGACATCTCCCTGCTCCTCCCAATGTCCACACACAGCCAGCACCACATTCCCCCTGTCATAATGTGGCTTCATCATATTCACATGGTACACCTAGCGGTGATGTGCTCCGTTAGACAGCTCCACTACATAGTTTACCTCATTTAGTTGCTTGACAACCTTGAAGGGACTTTCCCAAGCAGCCTGTAGTTTGTTTTTCCTCACGGGGATAAGAACCATCACCTGATCCCTGGTGGCGTAGGCCTGCGCTGTGCGGTCATACCAGACCTTCTGCTTCCTCTGGGCTCTGGCCACATTCTCCCTGGCCAGGCCCATGAGCTCAGCAAGTCTTTCTGAGCTGAGGAGAGGGGGGAGGGATAGCTCAGTGGTTTGAGCATTGGCCTGCTAAACCCAGGGTTATGAGTTCAATCCTTGAGGGGGTCATTTAGGGATCTGGGGCAAAAATTGGGGATTAGTCCTGCTTTGAGCAGGGGGTTGGACTAGATGACCTTCTGAGGTCCCTTCCAACCCTGATATTCTATGATTGTCAGGAGTAGGGAGGTTGTGTGCGTAGCTCTATGCAGAATGTCTCTGCTGAGCTCTCACACAGGGCTCAGGGGTGCAAAGCCTGCAGGAGCCGGGTGGGAAAGCTGTGGGGTTCTTGTTATGAATTGTATGTTAATCAGCCAGCTGCCCAGGGTTTGGTTAACTGGGGGAAAAGGAGAAATGGGGCAGAGGGAGTAGAGCCAGCTGGATAAACCTGCTGCACTGGGGTTGTAACTAGTGACACACGTCACTCTCCAGCTGGAGTTTGAGCCTATATTTTATGTTACCATCTCCTCCTCGTTCTGGATCACGAGCATGCGAGAGCTCTTCCCCGAGCAGTTGTCACGGCTCCCAGTCCAGTCTTGACGCTCTTTTTTAAGGGAAAATGCCATTTTGACAAAAAGGGAAGTTTTTATTTTAGTTGAAATTGTTCATTTTTTGCCTCTGTGTGTGTAAATAAAAAATGGAAATACAGATTTTTGGGGGGAGGACAGGGGGGGTTTCATTTTAATTTTAATTTTCATGGGGTGGCAGGGGAACACTTATTCTTAACATTTTCCCCATTGGAAAAGAGTGGGAGGAGTTTTGCTTTTCTGTTTCCTTCAAAGGACAGCAAACTTCCATTTCTTTTAACAAATTCCATAAAATAGGTTTACAGGATAGAACATAAGACCGGCCACACCGGGTCAGACCAATGGTCCATCTAGCCCCGTATCCTGTCTTCCGACAGCTAGGGATAGCAGCTCTAGTTCTAAGTATAGCTGCAGTTCCCCCCACACCCATATAAAAAGCCTTCTGACTCAAAATACTAGGGAGGGCTTTTCTCAGGGGTCAGTGCCCAAACAGCCAGGCACACTGTAGGTCAGGACTGCAGGGTGTTGGCAGAGATGGGGGCAGAGGTGCTGGAACTAGGGGTGCTGGGGGTGCTTCAGCACCCCCAGCCTTGAAGTGGTTTCCATTATATCCAGAGTTTACAGTTTGGTAAATTGTTCCAGCACCTCTGGATGGGGGGCCAGAGAGGAGAGAATTCACTTGAAGTCTTTACCTGACGTTCCTGTCTTACTAAAGCTCTGCTCTAATGCAATCACAAATTCTGGGCTCTATGCAGGAATCACTGGCTGGGAGTCTCTTGATTCGACCTTGTCAGCTTTCAAAAGCTGAACAGAGACAGACCCAGCCTGTCAAGAGAAACTCACTGTTGAAATATATAATCCTGGTTGGTGACTGAGAAGGAAAGGACCACTTGCAAAGTCTGAAAAGATCTCAGTGTCACAGCCTGGCAGTAGGGGTCGCTGTACCCCTGCTAGTGGCAGGGTTCCGGTGAGAACAAAAAACAAGGGCAGTTTGCCGTCATTAAAAATCCCACAGCGCTTCTTGAACAATGGGGATCTGAGACTGTCCACGTTCCAGTCTGTGTGACTGCAATTTGCTTCCCTAAAATGGAAGCTGCAATATTGTGGACTTCTTCTTCCACCCTTCCCCTGAGACATCACACAGCAGCGTGGTGGGCTAACAGCTGTGGAATTTCACTCCAGAGGTGCCTGCATTTCAGTGGTGGGGGAAATTATTCCTGTAGGTTCTACACGGCTTGTAAAGCTGTTTGGGCCTCCACCTCTAGAGCAATTATATTATTGCACGATGTTGAGCACGAGCTGGCAGAGAGCACGAGCTCCCCGGGAGCCTCCCTTACCGGAGCTGGAGAAGGCGGAAGCACCCCCCGGGGCAGGCTGGGAGATGGAGTTCCTGACACTCCCGCGAGCGGAAGTGACGTTCTTGGGGAGGACGAGCCGAGCTCGTGCGGGGCCGCTGGCGCCAATCCCAGGGCACAGAAGCGTGTTGTGCCGCTCGAGCTCTGGGCGTGCGCACATGGAGGGGGCGGGGCGGGAGTCCCGCATGCGCAGAGGCAGAGCTCGCCGGCTGCTGCTGCGGGACCGATGTGTGCGGGGGGGTCTGTGGCGGGGCGAGCTTCATTAGCCCCCCCCCCGCGCCTGGGCCCTGCCCGCCCCGCTGCCGCCTCCAGGTACCGGAGCGAGCCCCGGGGGGGGGGCTCGGAGCTGCTGTCCCAGCAGGAGCCCAACGCCCCCCGGCCCGGCCCGGCTCTGCCCTGCCTTGGGGGGAGGGGACCAGCCCCCCCCCCCCGCGGTCCCTGCCTTTGACCGGGCGGGGGGGACGTGAGCCCGGGCGGGGGGCGAAGGGGGGAGACCTGGGGACAGGGGCGGGGGGGGAAATGTCGGGGCAGCCCGGGCACGGCCGGGGCAGAAGAAGAGCAGGGGACCCCCGAGGAGCGGGGAGGGAAACGGGGGGGGGGGCTGAGATCCCCTCGGATTTACCGCTCCCGTGGGGACCCAGCCTCTCCCGTCCTGCCCCCTTCCTCTCCGGACACCAGCGATCCGCATCCAGGGAGACCCCCCCCCGCGTCTCTCCAATTCCTGAGCCGCTCCCTGGCCCCCTCCGCCGCTCGCGCCCCGTCGCAAGAACTCGATCTCCAAGTCGGGGTCTGGACGGGGCAGCGGGTTAAGGGGCGAGGCTGGGAGACCCCGACCCCGCGGGGCCGGGCTGGGGGGCCGCTCTCTGCCGGCAACAGGGCCCGGGCAGGCCCGGGAGGGGACGGGGGCAGCGAGCGGCCCCCCCCGGAGGCGGCCCGGCCCCAGGCTGCGGCCAGGAGCTCGTTCCTCCGCGGGGCCGCGTCCTGCCGCACCTGGGAGACGCCTCGGGGCTGCCCAGCCCCAGGGGAGCCGCAGCCAGGCCCTGCCCCGCGCCGCCGGGACCGGGGGGGCTCCTGGGGGGGGATCCGGGGGGGCCTTGAACGGTCCCTGTGCAGCCTCAGGAAACCCCCGGGGGAGAAGGGGGGGCGGGAGGTGAGTGAATTGGATCCTTTCCCTGCTGGTGCCGCTCACACCCTGATACAAATTCTCTCCAGTTCTTCCCCTTTTCTCAAATGTCAATTTAACATCTCCGGTGTGGGGGATTTTCCCACCCATTTTATCTGCAGCGATTTGTCCGTGTCTAGGTGAGAAATTGTTCCCTGAGTCGATTCCCAAAACATGGCTGCCCCTGGAGTGGGGATGGGATGAGACGCCTCTTCTCTGCCAGGGTGGGGGAAGCGAGGAGCACGTGTCCCCTGTGGAGACTGCCCAGACCCCGGTTTCCCAATCCCACTTGCTGGCCCCAAACTGCCAACACAGTTGCCCCCAGCTATCCATTGACCCTCACCTGCCCATCCCCCACTGCTGCCCCCTTCCCTCACCCAGGAAGCCTT